GCCCCGCACCGCAGCCACCGGGTCCGAGCACAGCGCGACCGCCGCCGGCCACAGCACGTCGACGATCGCCGCCCGCCCCGACGCGCGCGCGAGGCGCCCCAGCTGCGCCGCGACGTCCCGGCGCAGCCGCCACGCGCGACAGCGCTCCCCCTCACCGCCGCCGCCGCCGCCCCCGGCCCCGCCGGCCGCCAGCGCCAGCCGCGACAGCACGCGCAGCAGCGGCTCGCGGCCCGCCGCCGGCAGCGCCTCCAGCAGCGGCGGCGCCGCGGCGACGAGGGCGGCGTCGACCCAGGGCAGGTGGTTGTGCAGCGTCGTCATCAGGGCCGGCAGCAGGTCCGCCTGCACCACGCCCGGCCCCAGCGCGCGCGCCATGGCAGGCAGGGCGGAGACGAGCTCCTGAAGGACAGCGGGGTCTCGAGACGCCTGCAGGTGGCCGAATGCTGGCCTGCGGGGCGGCAGAGGGGGAGAAATCGGGCGGGGCGGGGCAGGCCGGGGTTGGGGACGTGCCGGCAAACTGTGACGGTACAGGGAAGTTGGCGGCAGCGGGTGCGGCGCGGCCAGACCGGGGTAAGTGATGGCAGGAGCACGGCAAGAGCGGCGACAAGACCGGCGGATGGCCGGCACGGAAGCTGGGCGGAAGCCGCCGGTGGGGCCGCTCGCTCACCGGACGTCCTCCCAGCGCTGCGGCCCCATGCGGCTGGCGACGGCCCCCAGGCTCTGCGCGCACGCCAGGGCGACGCTGATCTCATAGATCACGGTCGTGCTCGACCCCATGGCCACGAACCGCCCGAGCAGCTGCCCGCTGAGCTGGCACGGCGGCAGCGCCAGCAGGCAGGGCCCGAGGCCGCTGAGGGCGGTGACCTTAACCCAGTGGCTGCTGTCGGCGGTCACGCAGTCGACGCACGCGCGCAGGGCCGCCCAGCAGGCGTGCAACTCCGGCTGCGACTCAGCGAGGCCGCAGGGCGGGCCCGTCTCTGCACCGCCGCCCCCTGCCGCAGTGGCGGCGGGCGCCCCGTCACCGCCCTCCGGCGCGGCCGCCGCGCCGCCGGCGGGCTCCTCGGCGGCAGCGGGCGTCGCCGTCGCCGCCCCCGCCTTCGCCGCCGATGCCGCGGCCGCCGCGCAGGCGCCCCGCTCGTCCGCCCGCGCCGCGCGCGCGCGCAGCGCACCGGGCGACGGCGCGTCGGGCGACTCGTCGGATGACGAAAGCGACGATGATTCGGAGGACCCCGGTGAATCCAGGGCCGGGGGGTCGACCAGGAGGCTGCTGCTGAGCGGGTGCTTGCCCATGCCGCCCGCCGCCACCGACGCGCGCTTGAAAGGCGCCGCCCACGCGGACGACGGCGCCGAGGAGCTCGCAAACGCGGCCGCGCCGGCGCGGTGGCCGCCGCGCGGGTGCAGCTGCTGCTGGTGCCGCGGCGGGACCGAGTGGCGCGCGTCCCCCGCGTCCGCGCCGCCGCCAATGTGCGCGCATCCGCCGGTGGGCGCGTCCCCCAGCGGCGCGGCGCCGACGCCAGTGACGCGGCAGCGCGGCGGCGCCGCCGTAGCTGCCGCGCAGCCGCCCTCGCTGAGGCAGCACCCGGCGCGCGCCCCGCACGCGCTGCACACGCAGCACTCACCGGGCCCGCAGCCGCGGCAGCCGCCGCCGCCGCCGGCCTGGTGGCGGTGCAGCTTGCCCGCCAGGCGCGGCAGGTCCAGCGCGGCCGCGCGGCGGACGCGCCAGTTGTTGTCCCGGCAGAGCTGCGAGAACCACGGCAGCAGCGCGCGCTGCCACAGGCCCACCGGCAGCCGCTCCGCGACGAGGCTCATGCAACACGCGATGGCCTGGGGGTTAAAAGGGCCACAAAAACGCCGCGCGCATTAGTCATTGACAGGAGCATCGCGACGTCGCGTGGCGCGGCGTGACGCAACCGCCGGCATCCGCGGCGGCGCGGCCAGCTGGCGGCCGAGCGGCGCGCAAACGTGCTCTGCGCGCCGGCGTGGCGCGCGTGCAGGGGGCCCACCTCGCGCACTGCAAAGTCCCGGTGGCTGCACCACCGCTTCAGCAGCTCCGGCGCCCGCGCCTGCAGCGCCGCCTCGGGCCAGCTGGGCGCCGTGTGCGCGAACAGCCGCGCCGCCTGCACTTCGGCGTCCTCTGCACCCTGGGCCTCCAGCTTCTGGATGGCGGCCCACGAGGCTGCCGCGGCCGATGCCGGCGGCAGCAGCGCGGCGAGCTGTTGGAACGCCACGATCGACTGGCGCGCGACCTGCGAGCCGGGTGCGAAAGCGGGAGGGACGCCAGGGGGCGCGCTGACTTTCCATCAATCAAGGCGTCAGGAGGGGAAACAAGCAGCCGCCGGGTCCCCAGACTGGCGCATGCCCAGTCGACTGCACCAATATGGCTGTGCGCCTCCGCCCCAGCTCGCTGGACCCCGCCCGTCCGCGGCCAGCTGCCGCTGCGGAGCGCCGCACCCGGGCCACGCACCTCATCGCTGTCGTCCAGCGCGGGCGCGAGCAGCAGCGGCAGCATGTGGCGCTGGATGTCCAGCTCAGCGCGCGCTGCGCCCTTTGACCGCAGTGCCGCGCCTGCGCATGCGCCAGGAAGGAGAAACGATGCCCCGTGGGACGGACAGCGGAAGCGGCCCCGAGGCGCGGCGCTTGACTGCGCCGACCGCGTGCGCTATCTGCCGGCAAGGCCGTTGCCGCGGGCGTGAACGGTTCACCGCTGCAGCGCGCGAGCCGGTGCGCTGCGGTGTCGGTTGGCGCCTGATTGCGCGCGGGCTCACCCAGCTGCGGCATCTGGCGTAGTGCCGCCAGCCGCACGTCCTGCTCTGCATCGCCTATCAGGTCCTCCAGAAGCCGGCCCGCCAAACATGCTGCGGCGCACTCATCATATCCTGACGCCTCGGCCGCCGCCGCGATGCCCTGCACATGAGCGGCGAAGCAAATTTCAGCAAGGGCAGCAGCGGCGGCGCTGCAGCGGGCAGCCACAGGCAGCACGCGCATCTCGGCGTAGGGGCATGGCGATGCATGGTAAGATCCTTACAGAAACCGTCGATAAGACGGCCGCTTGGCATTTGCTGTGAGCGCGTCGTTGGCAGCAGCCGACGGGTGTGCAACACCAGCACGCCGTTGCCCACCTCCACGTGAGCGAGCCTTTGGATGGCGCGGCATGCGGTGTTTCTACTCCGCTCTGCTATCACTGATAGCGGCGGTGCCATAGCGTCCTGTCGAGGCGCAGGGTAGTTCATTGATGAGTCGTGGTCACGGCCACCAGCACAACTTCTATTATTGAAATAAATCTTTACCTCATCTATCGTGTCTTGAGGCTGTGGGGATAGGGGTCCCCACCCCCTTGTCGGGGATGCCAATGGGGAGCTTGATAGCATCATTGTGGCGGCCCCCGCCATGGAAACGTAGTTTTGTACGAAAACATCTTCATCTGCAGGGCGTCTCTGGGCCAACCGTGTTTGTGTGCGCTTGCCGTCAGGGCGATCCACGCTGTGCCCCCCGGTTTCCCATCAGCTCTGACAGACGACGCCCACAGCGCATACATCTGCGGCTTGGCGCTTACCAGGGCGCTGGAGCCTGGGCACCGCTGTCCAGTGGTTCAGAACCGCCTACCAGGGCTTGCGGCTGTGCCGCCATCACGGCACAGCGCACCCTTTTTGTCCAAAGCCCGATATTTGCGCACGGCAGCGGCATGACGCACCATCTGGTAAACTATTGTACAATTCAAACCACTGTGCATCGATGGTGTAAATGGTTGCACGCACAACCCATTTCACGAGATGCACACAGCATTCAAGTTACAACTCGGCTGCAGCTACCGATGCAAGAAGCTTGTCGACCACTGCCGCGTGCGCCTCCGCCTCAACCGCTCCGTCCAGCCCGCAGCCGCCCGCTTCTGCCGCCACTGAGCGCAGCTCCATGAGGTTGTTCAGGGGCGGCAGCTCGATCGAAGCCAGCCTGTTGGTTGGGTCACGCGCAGGGGTTTTCTGCTGAGTGCGCGAAAAGGTGCGTTACTATCTGCCTGCGTGTCCAGGCCAGCAGCAATTTTGGGTCCAGTTGCGACTGTTTTGCGTTGCAGGTCGACCAGCAGTATTGTGCTCAATCTACCAAAGTCCCCTTGCCGCATCATCGCGCTCGCTGCGCACCACTCCTGACGCTCCAGCAGCTCCATCAGCAGCTCCCGCGCCTCCGCCACCACAAAGCTGCGGCCCCCGCAAGCCTGCAAGCAGGGGCCCACGCGCGACCAGCCCAGCCCGCACCAGCGTGTCAGCGAGGGAAACACACGCCGCGCAAGCTTTGTGTACGTGGGCGTCCATCATGCAGAATGTGGCATGACCAGGCCCAGTTTGCTTGTGGCTTTGCCTGTGGCATGGCGAGCCTCACACATGTGCGTGGTTGTTTGGACCATCCTTGATGCAGCACGCATCAAGGATAGTCTAGCCCTGTGCGCCCCCCCCCGTTTCTGCCCTCCCCTCCAACTACCCCTGGTGATGTCAACTGTTCCATCAGCAGGCAGGCGCGGGCGGCTGCCTGGAAAGTGGCATAGTCCACTGTCAGCCGCGATAGGTCGGAGCATATCTGCGGATTGGAGCCAACTATTCGTGTGAGGCAGCAGGGATGGTTGGCCCCCACTAAGTAACACCACCAGGCAGGTGAGGCCTTGTGAGGATAAATATCATAGTCGAGGGTGCAGCTGATGAGGTACATGCACTGAGCGCCACCCGGTAAGATGCTCGTGCACATGCTGCAGGCCACCAGTGCGTCTCGCAACGAGGTGCGCACCCGCTGCAGTTGCACGGCCAGCTGGGGGCGCAGGCTGGATGTCAGAAGAGACACACAGGCCATGAATGTGTCAGGGCAGATGTCGTCGCCGCCTGGAAGCATGCAGAGTGTTGCCAGTGCGTGTGCAGGGGAGCGATTGATGGGTGCAATATGAGGGCTTCTTGTTGGGCAACAAGGCCCAGTGCGCCACAATTGCAACCCAAATAGGTACTCCTTGCAAACTTTTGAAGCATTGCAGCCTATTCTTCTCATTGGTCCAAGCCTCACCCACCCTCTGCCAGTATGTTGAATGCCTCACACAGGTTTTCACTGAAGTTCGATGCCTCTGGAGAGCACAACCGCAGCCGCCGGTATGCGGCTGCTGCGGGCGGCCCGCCATACGCACGATCTGCAAAACTTCAACGGCAGATAGTGTGCACGCATCCCTCGCGTTATGTCGCAACGAAGGGCCAAAGGTGCGCGCGGCTGTGGGCACGCGGCTGTCTTGGGGCGGCAAGCGACAAGCTGTGTCGCGCCCCACCACGCAGGCCAGACGCTCACTACGCGGCGAGGTGCAGGAGAGGGTTGCTGGGGCGGCTCTGCAGGATGGGCAGCATCCCTGCATGCAACTCTGACGCTAGCACCTCCAGGCGTGGATCGTCGCAGCCTGCGGCGCGCAGGAGCAGCCCGAAAGCAGTGCAAAGTTCTGGGATGCGGACGCTCCAGCTCCAAAAAGCATGTGTTCTTCCTGCGTGGTTGATGCTATGTCCTGTCCTTGGCGTTGGTCTCTTACCACTTGCCGTGGAGGCCATCGACAGCTGAGCTCGCGGAAAACGAATCACGAATTTGCTGCGTGCCACGACGCGGATCTCAACTGCCCTTTACTGATCATGCACTACGGTAGTTGCGATTACGAGATTTTGTTTGATCCGTGTGAGCGGTACTTTTGAAGCACACTGATCTTGACTCATTGACCTTGACCGGGTGCAGCTCTGCACGTGCAGCCTGCCCACCAGAGGGTCAGCCACACTGTTAGGCTGGAGATGGCATCTGTCTTGGGCCGTGACGTTGTTGTCAATCATCCTGTTTGTGCTTCGATAAACATCACTGTTGGCCAACCATGCAAGATATTGCGAACGCGCTGCAGGGTGTCGCGTGTTGGGGCCAGCCAAAGGACCGGGCAGGGCGGCAGACATGGTGTTCATACAGTTTGAAGACTTGGAATCAGGAATGAAGCAGCCTTGACACACATTTTGGCCCGAAGCGCTCCCAGGTTTGCGTGCGCTGTGGCACCGCACTGACAGTGTCAGGCAGTATGGTGGTGCAAACCCATGGTGCAGAGTGTGCACCCACCCCCTATGCCACAGCATTCTTTTCAACTGAATTGAACGCTATTTCTACCACGCAAAATTCTGATGTCATGCCAAGCATTTAGTGCAGCTGTTGCATGTAGGCATGCACATTAATTCAGTCACCCGCATGTGAAGCATATGCTGCTCGGCTTGCTCCTGCAAGAACGGGTAGTACCGCTCTATTGAATCGCTAATATCTATACAGTATAGTGAATGCTGGTGGCAAGCGCATGTGACTGGCGTGTGGAGGCAGTTGAGGCATGTCGCATGTGCGTGCTTCATGCCGCACAACCCTACTGTATTTCTCGCAGCGGTACATCAATTGGAAAGATAATTGGATATGGCGCCACGCGGCTCATGCAGCGGGGGCAGCGACAGAAGCAGCAGCAGAAGCGAATACAGCAGCACCTGCATTGAGGACAGCAGTGGCATCAGCGGCAGCATCAGCGGCGGCATCAGTGGCGGCATCAGCGGCAGCATCAGCGGCGACATCAGCCGCGGAAGCGGCCGCGGCAGGAACGGCAGCAGCGGCCGCAGCTGCAATGGCGGCAGCACCAGCGGCAGGAGCAACAGTGCGCTTGCACTACCGCCTTGGGATTCCCTTGTTGTAAACGGCTTACACCCTGTGAGACACGCTTGCCTCGGCCCTCATGCTGACGCCTACAATACCCAAACGCATCCATTCAATACGCAACAAGGGCGCCACGCGCAGCATGCACTGCAGGCGAGCAGCATCAGACGGTATCATACTAAAACTTTGACCGCCACTAGATGCATGGCAACCAGTGTGCTGGGTTCAGACGCCTTGCATGCCGTGTTTGAACTCGTGTAGCAGCTGTGGTGCACGGCTCACTGGGTGCCGCCATACCGGTACGCGCTAGAGGCCGTGCCGCGCGAACAACTGTTCAGTCGACTTCTCGCCTGCATCAAGCTATGGAACAGATTGTTTTGCTGCAGCAAAGATGGCCAGGGAGGCTGTCGTCTTTGATCACGACAGTGCGGCCTTCGCGAACGACGAGTTTAGGATCTTCCACTTCAAGGCAAGTGTAAATATGTGATACAGGGTGTATCTTTTTGTTGCCGGTGCTCACGACGTCCTCGCGTGCGCAGGTGAAGCGCTGCCCGCGTGCCAAGCCCCATGACTGGACGCAGTGTCCGTTCGCGCATCCTGGAGAGAAGGCTAAACGCAGGGACCCACGCCGTTATCGCTACAGCGGCACAGGTGCGACCATTGGACGCTATGTGCAGCCGCGCGCTGTACGCTGTGCATGCTGCTGCATGCAGCACTGCCTGCCCTTGCACGGACCACCGTATTAGACTGACTCGCCGTGCGCTGTACTCTCTTGATCGTCACCCTCCTTCACAGCCTGCCCGGAGTATCGAAGAGTGAGTCGGAAGGCCGGCGGCGGGCGTGCAGGCTTTGCTGTGGTGGGCGCCGACACGCTCAGCAGCGCCCATGCTGCATTTTCCATAAGCGTGGCCACAGGGCGAGCCACTGGCACCAAAAATCAATCACAATCACGATCATGCTCACATGTACTTTGCAGAATGGCTCATGCCGGCGAGGGGACGCGTGCCCCTTTGCGCATGGCGTGTTCGAGTGCTGGCTGCACCCTTCACGATATCGGACCCAGGTGTGTGCCGCGCCCGCATGGCGCAGAGAACCAACCAGGACCTGCATGTGCGGATCAACCAGACTACCACAGTGCCCATGCATCTGCACCGCAGACCACTTTTGCCATGCACCTGCCGCCATGCCCACGCCTTGCACCCCTGTTGCCGCCGTCACGACTCACTCTCCCCCCCCCCCGCCCATGATGACTGAGCGATTCGTTGTTCCGCCGTCCCCCTTCCCCCTGCTCGCGTAAGATGTGCACTGACGGGACGCAGTGCAAGCGGCGAGTGTGCTTCTTCGCGCACTCCGAGGGGGAGCTGAGGAAGCCAGAGGAGGACCCCGTCTGGCTGCAGCAGCAGATGCAGGACGAGGCGGCGTCTGGTGCGCGCCCGGTCCGCGGCCGAGCGCCACGGGGCTGCCTGCCGTCGTAAGCGGCCGGGACTTGCGATCGCGGACCGCGCGGCTGCGGCTGCGGCGCTGCCACGCAACTGTGAGTAATGGGAGCCCCGCCCTTCACGCACAGCTGACGGCCTCCTTCCTCGTGCCGTGTCGGCCGCCGCGCGCCCGCAGATCAAAACGCGCAGCAGCAGGCAATGCAGGGATTTTCCGCGATCCTCGACCAAACCGGCGGCGGTGAAGGCGGCGCAGCCCCCACGGCGGCGCAGGGCATGGAGGTGAGGCGTATGGCCGTCAGCGCACGGAAATCAGGCCAAGGGAGACAGGAAAACGGAAGCAGGGTCGCGCGCCGCTGCTGCAGTGTGGCGTTAGCAAAGGGGCGACGTCGCAGCAACCCTTGCTGTCCTGCCTTCCTTTGGGGCAACTATGTTGGTGCCAAAGCTATTCAACAACCAGCATTGGTGTTGGACAGCCGCATGACGAGTCGGCAGCAGCGTGTCCCCGCTCACGCCCCGCCCGCCACGCCCGGCCCGCAGACCCTGCAGAAGCTCCTGAACGCAGCGACGGCGCCCACGCCAG